GCAGGGAGCCCGATGTGGGACTCGATCCCAGGACCCTGGGATCATGACCTGAGCCGAAGGCAGACGCTTAACGACTGAGCCACCCAGGCGCCCCTCATTGAAATTTTTAAAGAGGGAATGTAGGGTATGTAAACTAATAAATTTCAAGACCTTTAGCTTAAAATGCTAGTTTGTACTTTTAATTAATATGCATGAGTGTGTGCATTTCTAAACGTAAGAAAAAGGTAAACTCCTTGATCACCAGTGACCCCCATTGCAGTCCATTGGGGAATCCATCATCACTTACCTATCCAGGCAACCTGTCTTAAAGCAGGCCGTTAATCATTGCCTGCCTGATAGGAACCCAAGAGCTGTTTGCTGTAATCCATCAGCCCCTTTCTGTCGCGAGGCAGGACTCTCCTAAAAAAGTGAATTTCAGAGCACCCTGCTCCAATATTTCTTGACTCAACCAATGTTTTGGGAATTTCGGTGCATTTTATCTTATATCAGAAATTGTTTTTTAACTTTTGAAGATTTAAACTGCTTGTATTTGGAAGGTGAGGTGGATGAGGTTTTAAGCAATACGACTTTTTCACTCACTTCTCTCTAAACATGAATCTGGCTAGAAGGAGTGCTCTCCGGATGTGCTGCCCGGCTTCCTGTTTGTGATACTGGGCCTGCAGGCCCGCATGTCTTTGTATCCCTTGTTGCGTTCATTTGCTGGGGCCGCCAGAACAAAGGCACACACAGGGCAGCTTAAAACAATAGAAATAGATTGCCTCACAGTTCGGGAGGCCAGTTTTCTGAAATCCAGGTAGCAGCAGGGTTCATTCCCTCTGAGGGCTGTGAGGAAGAATTTGGTCCCACCTCTCTCCTAGTTTGAGGGGTTGGTGAATATTCCTTGGCTTATAGATGACCATGTTCTCCTCGTGCCTCTTCACAGTGTGTTCTCCCTGTGTCTAAACTTCCCCTTTTTATAAGGACTTCAGATACATTGAATCGGGCGCCTGGGTGGCTCAGCCGTTAGGCATCTGCCTTCAGCTCAGGTCATGATCCCCAGGTCCTGGGATCGAGCCCCAGTCCTGCTTCTCCCTCTGCTTCTGCCCCTCCCGCCACCCATGCGCACTCTCTCTCAAATAAATAAATCTTTAAGAAATTTACTTATAAGACATTTTCACATCTATATCTCATGTTGTCCTCAAAAAAGCCTTTTAGATAGATGAGTAATGAGAAAATGTGGATATTAATATTTACTTAATACAGGAAAAAAATGTGATAGAGCCTATATCAGATGATAGAGCAGGAGAACTATCATCCATATCCAGCCTACTAATTTTTTGCTTTTTCTTTTATAATAACTGCACACTTTAATGAGTAACCTTTAGGGATTGCCATTGGCCTTAGTCCTTTGGGAAAGTTATTTCACTGAATGCCATTCTGCTCTACTGATGATATTTGGTCTGTGCACTTGTGTGTGTCTGGTGGTTGTTGAGAAGGTACTTTGATTAGGCATTGCACAATTCCAGAAAAACCACAAAATAGCACATACCTTTAGAATTGTCCACTATGGCATAAGGGCTGCCCCAGGAAATGAATGAGTATTTACTTAGATGTTCCTGATTTATCAGAACAGAACACATTTTTCACCCTTTCAGGCTCTCCTCCCTCGCGGGTCAAATACACAGATAGGAACGTGTTCTAATTAATACTCACATGTGCTCCCCTTTTAGGCTTTTTTTACAGAAAAGTACTTGCAGGAGCATCCCGAAGACCAGGAGAAGATTGAGCTGCTAAAACGACTGATAGCATTGCAGGTATGTGTCGTGGGAGGAGTGTGGCCAGACAGCCTTCCGCAGCACTCCATGGGGTGCCACAGAGCACAACCCCAAGATATTCTGTAGGGCTTAAATCTACAAGCCCGCTTTTAGGGGGTTTTGTTTTGTTTTTTACTCTTTGGAATCACAGCCTACCTCTTTGTTTGGCAGAGTGACCCTAGGAATAGCATTCTGTTAGACTCTACAGTGCAGAGAGGGACCCTCCTAGAGAAGAGATTAAAGTCCCCAAGTTGGTTTGCTGAGCTGTGTTTCCAGCTGAGCCATGTTGGCCTCAGTCTCTCTCTCTCTCTCTCTCTCTCATTACTTCAGTGAACAGTGGTAGAAAATGCAGCCATCCGATTCAGCCTGATGTTTAAAGCTAGCAGTGGTTTAGCCACAGACATGCCCCCGGGCTCAGGTGGGTTTGTCTGGGCTGTCAGCCCTTCCCCAGTTGAGGGCCTGCTTGTCTCCTTGTGTGTCTCCCTGTGTCCTTGACCCAAGGGCGGCCAGTGCCCAAGCCCCACACGGAGAAGTAGCGTTCTCATGTGGTCCATGCTGTGTCTGCCAGCTTACCTGTCCGTCTCCACCTCCATCCTCGCCCAGCCTCTGGATCTGAAGTATCCCTCTTCCTAAACCGTATTCCCTTCCTCTCATGCCCTTTTGTTCAGATGCCCCTGCTGACAGAGGGGATCCGCATCCACGGGGAGAAGCTGACAGAGCAGCTAAAGCCACTGCATGACCGGTTGTCTTCTTGTTTCCGGGAACTCAAGGAGAAAGTGGAAAAGCTCTACGGTGTCATAACGCTGGTAGGCTTTGTCTAAGGAGCTTATTGATTTTTTCGGTCTCTTTGACCGTTTTTGATCTTGCGGAGTTTTTCAGCTGCCAGATGAGTCAAAATGGTGCAGCATGGAAATACCAGGGGCAGGGAGGAGAGCACATGGTGAGCTTTTGGTGACCTTCTAACAGTGACGTGCTACAGAGGGGTTCTCAGACTTGAGTGACTGTCCGAACCACCTGAAAAACACAGACCGCTGGACCACAGCTCCAGAGTTTCTGATAAGAAGTCTACAGTGGCCCGAGGGTTTGCCTTCCTCACGTGCTCCCACGTGGGGCTGAGGCCGCTGGTCTGGGCCCACAGTGTGCACGCTACTCTCCTAGCAGTTGGGACGTTCCTGCTCCCAGACGCTGATCATTCCTGTCCCGTCTAGCCCAATTCTTAGTGATTTTCCTAGTGTTTATTTTTCATTTTGATGAAAGGTTTCCACTGTTGACGCCTTTGAAGGGGATAAAGAATGGTGAAGTGCATTTCACAATGCGTACAGCTGATTTCATCATTTTTTCCAACAGTTCTAACACAGTTCTCCCAGTGACAGTTTTCTTCTTCCCAAAAAGTTGGGTGGGTTGGTACATGCGCTCAATAACCTTTTGTCTCTGGGGCGCCTGGCTGGCTCAGTTGGTAGAGCATGCAGCTCTTGATCTTGGGGTCATGAGTTCGAGCCCCACGTTGGGCATAAAGGTTACTTAATAAAAGAATAAACAATAAATAACCTTTTCTCTCCAACAGTCGATTAAGTGTTTGGATGCAGCTTCATTTTTCCTTTTTTTTTTAAGATTGATTTATTTATTTGAGAGAGAGAGCCTGTGCGTGCATGAGCAGGGGGAGGGGCAGAGGGAGAGAGCAAGAGGCAGAATCCCCGCTGAGTGCAGAGCCTGACACAGGGCTCGGTCTCATGACCTGAGCCACAACCAGGAGTCGGATGTTTAACTGACTGAGCCACCCAGGCGCCCCATGTCTCCTCTTTTTAATATGATAACTGTCTCACTCTTGAACTCCTGATTTTCAAATTCTCTTTCCTTAGGTCAAAGCTCTGAAATTCCTTTTGAGCCCTCCTGCCTCCCATTCCCACACCTCCGTCTTTACTACCCTTTTCTCCAGAGTATCTTTGTGATCATTGCTTTTAATCAAGTGTTCAGTCATGTCCAACCTCCCAACCTACTGCCAGTTTAGAGCTTTTCCCTAGGAACATTTGTCTTTTACACAAGTTCCTAGATGGGAAGGACTGTGACTTTCACCTAGTGAATAGTTTTTATTAGATCCAGGCCAGTGGTTGCGTGTGAATTTGATACGGTGGCCTGTTGGGGCAATCAGTCCTACTGGAGACATTTCTAATGAAAGCAGATCAATATCAATGTTCCTTTACTTCTTAAGATTCACCATTTACTTCCTAAGCATCAGGTCTACAGTTTGGATCTAAAACTTTCTATTAGGCCAGTATTCTATTTTTCTAGTGGCTGAAAGAAGCTAAACTGGAGAAGCAGACCGAGGGTTTTGCTCTTCTATTGGGGGGTAATGAACAGTTTGCTTTTTCTCTCTTATGTGGCTGGCAGCAAATTATGGGGAATTTTTCTCTCGTCTTAACAAGGTAGGTTTAACCTAGTTGTGTTTATACTTAAGAATAGGAGTAGCTGCGATATTTAACGAGTGAGGCAGCAGTGGGTGCCAGCCAATACAAATGGCGGTCCCAAACGGATGGGGGTGTGCCAGGCCATATGGGCTGAGTTCCAGGCCAGCTCACCGTGAGATGCCATGTATTCTTCAGCCACCCACCTTGACTGAGAGGAAGCAAAGCCGCACAGGGTCTATTGTACTACCCTACATCATGTCATCTACGCTGCGGAGATTGTCCATCACCTCAGTGACTTCCTCGGTGATTTCCACCTCTTCTAACTCATCCGATAATGCTCCTTCCAGACCAGGATCCGATGGGTAAGGGTTCAATTTTTAATTGGCGGTGGGGTGGGGGGTGCAATTTGCCTAACCTTTGCCTTTTGTCGCCAAAGGGAGCCTTGGTCAGTCTAGATGCATCACTGTTATAAGGGAAATAATTCAGAGTATATGGCTGTTAGCCTCTGGATCATTCTCATTGTCTTCCTCGTGAGATGATAATCACCCATCATCCTGTCACATCCTATCACCCACCCTATCACATTCTGATTTGTTTTTTTCATATTAATTTATAGTCTGATTTTTTTCATCTGAATCAATTTTCAAAAGTAATTCTAAAATTTATATTTATTTTGTAAACAGGTAATATAATTACATGATACAAAATTCCAAGGTACAAAAGGGATCTCTCATGAAAAACCACCCATCGGTCCTTGACTTCTACCTTACCAGTACCCCTCTGCGGAGGCAAGTGATAGCCTTTAGGTTCTTGGTGCCTTTCCAACAGCTCTTCATACACAGCAAGCAACACCTAAATATATATTTTTCCTCACGCTTTCTTTTTATATGAATGGAAACGTAATACTTTCTTTACCTTGCTCTTTTTACTTACTGTGTCTTGACAATCATTCCATTTCAGAATGTAGAGAGCCTCATCTTTTCTTTGAGGTGCAGACATCTTGGGATATGTCTGCACCCTGACACATTCCACTGGTGCCTATTGGTGGATGTTCAGTTGTTTTCAATCTTTGGCTGTCATAGCACTGTGGCCGTGCATAAGCTTAAAAACAATTTATTCTGTAAATATGCAAATATATCCATATGAGAAAAATTCCAGAAGTGACATTGTTTTGTCGAACATTTATGGTTGCAATTTTCAAAATTATTCCTAAACTGACTTCCACAGACATTATACCAATTTAGAGTCCTACCAGCAACATACAAGGGTGCCTCATCACCCCCACACCCCAAATTGTGTATTATTGGCCCTTTTAATTTTCGCCAATCTGATAGGTGGAGAATATTTTCATGGTATAGGGTTTCATTTTGGTTTGGTTTTATTTCTCTTGTTTTGTGTGAATCTGAGCTGCTTTTCATTTTTTAGTAGCTGTTTGTATTTTATGTTCTGCAAACTGTGGTCAAGTATTTTGGGTACAGGTTTCTGTTTTTTTTTTTAATTTTATTATGTTAGTCACATACATCATTAGTTTTTGATGTAGTGTTCCACAATTCATTGTTTGTGTATAGCACGCAGTGCTCTATGCAGTACGTGCCCTCCTTAATACCCATCACCGGGCTAACCCATCCCCCCACCCCCCTCCCCTCTAAAACCCTCAGTTTGTTTCTCAGAGTCCATAGTCTCTCATGGTTCGTCTCCCCCTGGGTACATGTTTCTCTTGTGTTTTCTCTGTCTGATGCCTATTTTCTCTGTCTAATATTCGTTGAAATGCATCCTCCAGTTTCTCCTTTCTTTTGACTTTGCTTCTCATTTTTTATTTAGTTGTGCTTTTTTTATGCAAATAAATTGATGCTGGATTTCAGGGCTTCTGGATTTTATATAATTAAAGGCCTTCCCCACTCTAAGGCTGCAAAAAATTAATTTTAGAGTTTCAGTATTCACCACTCAATCTGTGAATCTTTGAAATTTATGAGTATAAAGTGTGAGGTATGAAGTCAACTTTTTTTTTTTTGGCCATGCAACTAGTCAGTTTTCCCTGTAACCTTTAGTGAGCAAACCATCTTTTCTCTGCTGATTTGAAATGTCAACCTTATTACAGAATCAAATTTTTATATGTTCCTTAGTCTATTTGCAGACTCCCCACCCCCGCCATTTCTTTCATCTCCCTGTGTGTTCATATACTAGTACTATATAGTTTTAACTACTGTAGATTTGAAAGGCTTTTATTTTTTAGTTATCCTTTTCAGAATTTATCTGGCAACTTTTACTCATTGCTCACTTTTGGATTCACTTGTCTGGAATCCTATGGCTATTTTTATTGGGATCATATAAAACTTCTGGACTAACTTTGGGAGGACTGATGGCTTTTTGATGTCAAACCTTTCTTGCCAAAAACATGGACTGCCTTCCCATATGTTCAAATTTAAGATATTTTTAAAAAATGAATTTGTAGTTGTATTCTTTCTGTTTAAAATACTATTATAAAACAGTATTTTACTAATTATATATTTAATATATGTACACGTAGAAATTTTTCAAAGTACTAGAAACTTAAAAGAAAAATGCTTATCACATCATCACTCAGAAGTAACCACTGTTAAGGTTTAGTTATATAACAAAAAAAGCATATATACATTTTATACAATTGGAAATGCATCGCACGTACCATTTTGTGACCTGCTGCTTAATTTAATATACATGATGAGTATTTTTTTTTCTTTTGAGAGAGCATGTGTGAGCGGGGAGGGGGTGGTGGGGAGGGACAGAGGGAGAGAGAAATCCTCAAGCAGACTCCCTGCTGAACGTAGAGCCCCATGCAGGTGTCTGTCTCACGCCCCTGAGATCATGACCTGAGCCAAAATCAAGAGTTGGAGGCTTAACAGACTGAGCCACCCACATACCCTTTTTATCATTTCTGTTGGCTATTTACCATTGCATCCTATGAACGCACCATAATTAATCCTTCTCTTACTATCAAATATTTAAGCTCTGTCATTATTTCTGAACAGGTAATCAGCAAAGTAATCATTATAAATTTCATATGAAAACATGTAGCTTCTGTCAATATAAAATGCAGTTTTATTATGAAGAATTGTACCAAACATACGTGTACAGACAGCTTTCCAGTTATTTAGGATGCAGTCTCATATCCCTTCTTGGCCTTTTGGCTAAGATCAAGTGTAGGATGCATTTCTAGAAGTATACATTCCCTAGTCAGAGGATGAAATTCATTACAGTTCTGATGTCAAACAAATACCGATATGCAGTGCCATATGCAATGTGAGTACTGGGTATTTGCACTATTTTTAGTCCTTAGTGCAATAAATATTAGATAGTCTTTGATTCGTTTATTTTTCTCTTCTCTGGTTTTTTTAATGCCATTAAGAGATACTACCTACTCTGTGAAAGCATAAAAGTTCTGTTCAGTGAGACTCTTTTCTTAAATAAATGGCCTCACTCAAAAAAAGAAAAGATCTGAAACAGCTGTTGAACATCAGAGATACACCATGAGTGCTGACACTCAGGACAATAAACAGAGAACAGGTGAGTGGGGCCCTCTTCATGCCTCAACCCAAGCAAGGTGGGTTATTGACCTTGCCCAAATTTCCCCAGTGAGAAGTCACTGATACTATTTTCTAACATTATTTAGGATGTTTCTTTAAAGCAGCTCAAACTGATTATCAGCTAATGACCCTGAGTCTCCCATTCCCAGTGTCATACCACAATATTTATTAATGCTTTCATGATGATTATTGGGGGTACCATCTGTAAAGGGCCAGTTCTCTATTGGAAGAAAGTAGAATGTATCCATCCTGTCTGGCAAATGGTAGGCCAAGGCACAGAAAGAGAATTACTTTTTGAAACACAGCTCATAGAGTTAAGGGAAATCAGGAGGCCAACTAAGTCCATGCTTAGAGCACCAGCAAAGTTCGGGACCCAGAACAAAATTGTTTAGAAAAAAACTAATCTTTGATATTTCAGGAAAATCACTGAAGTAATCATTATGAGAAAAAAATAACACAGACCCCGGGGGACCACACTGTAGTTACTTTATGGTTTAGTTTGGTTCCTAATTAGGCCCTAGTGAAACTCGCGTCTTTGACTGTCGACCTAGTGACCCACAGCCTTCATTCTCAGTCTCTGAGGTAAAGTTATAATTGATTCCATATAATCTGGGGTGGTGGTTTTCTTTCTCCCTGACCAATTACTGTTTGAGGTGATCTTGTTTGTTTGTCTGATTTGGCTTAGTTGGTTTTAAGAATAATTAGAGTCTCGGGGCACCTGGCTGGCTCAGGCGGAGGAACGTGCAACTCTTGATCTCAGGGTTGTAACTTCAAGCCCCATGTTGGGTGTAGAGATTACTTAAAAAATAAAATCTTAAAAAAAATTAAGAATAATTAGTCTTTTTTGGAATTTGGTTCTATATTTCTTTAACCAGTACAGAGTTAAGATAAATAATAATGAGTGGCAATGATTAATATAAATCATTGAAAAATACCAAAGGGGCACCTGGGTGGCTCAGTGAGTTAAGTGTCCAACTCTTCTTGATTTCAGCTCAGGTCCTGATCCCCGGGTCATGAGATCGAGCCCTGTGTTGGGCTCTGTGCTGACCATGGAGCCTGCTTAAGATTCTCTCTCACCCTTGGGCAACTGGGTGGCTCAGTCGGTTAAGCATCTGCCTTCGGCTTAGGTCATGATCTCAGGGTCCTGGGATCTAGTCCCACATCGGGCTCCCTGCTCAGTGAGGAGTCTGCTCCCTCTCCCTCTACCCCTCCCCCCGCTTGCTCTCTCTGTCTCTGTCTCTCTCAAATAAGTAAATAAAATCTTTTAAAAAGAAGATTCTCTCACTCCCTCTCCCTTTCCCCTCCCCACCCTTCACGAGCTCTCTCTCTCTCTCAAAAAAAAGAAAGAAAAATACCAAAAAATTAAAAGCCCATACAGTCTTTTAAAAAATAATAGAAAAGGAGGGAATAATTTGAAATAAAAAAAAAAGAAACCACCATCTACAGGCATTTCCCAGTGTGACTGCATGGGCTCAGCCTCACTCAGACTTCCCTGGAACTTTCTCCCTTTACCTTCACAGAGCAAGGTAAACACACTTTGCAGAAACGGAAACCATGCAATATTAAAAGCTTAAAATGATTTAAGCATTTTAACCAAACACAGCGAGTGAATCCTGTTTGGATCTTGATTCAAACAAGCCACTTCCAAAAAATTTATGAGACAATCAGGAAATGTAAGCATTGGATGTTCAATGAAATGAAGGAATTATTCCTTTTGTAGGACGGATGATGGGAGTGTAATTATGTTCTGAAGTGAGTCCTTGCCTCACTGAGGTATACACTGAGCTATTTATGGATGAGATGGTATGACGTCTAAGAATCGCTTCCAACTGATCCAGTGAGGGGCAAGGAATGTGACTTAGGTGTACATAAGAAAGCAGAATGGCCATGGGTTATCATTATTGACACTGAGTGATAGACACATGGGAGTTTTTCACGATCTTTGCCCCCTCCAGATATCTTGTCTTAATATTTGAGTATTTGATAACTTGTGACACTAACTTTTTAAAATTCTTTGGATTTCCATTTTCATAAAATACTTATTTATGTCCTTTGACTATTTTAAAAAACTGAACTACACATATTTTTCCTTTTGGTTTGTAAAAATGTCTTATATATTAAAGATATTTGCCATCTAAAATAGGGTCAGCAGATAGTTTTAGTTTACTAATGATGCTTTCTGCCAAATAGAAGCTTCAATTTTTCTTACTTTTTATTTTTTTAAAGATTTTATTTATTTATTGGAGAGCACAAGCAGGGGGGAGGGGTAGAGGGAGAGGCAGACTCCCCGCTGAGCAGGGAGCCAGCCCAATGTGGGACTCCATCCCAGGACCCTGAGATCATGACCTAGGCAGAAGGCAGACGCTTAACTGGCTGAGCCACCCAGGCATCCAGAAGCTTCTATTGTGTTTTTTTTAAATACTAAGAGCTCATCTCTGTTTTTATGTTGTCTTATTTCATACCACAGCTTTTGTCTGTGTGTGTGTGTGTGTGTGTGTGTGTGTTTTATGGACTTTATTTTTTAGAGCAGTTTTAAATTCACAGCAGGATTAAGAATGTAAAGCAGAGCAGAACATTCATTACCACTGATGAACTTATGTTAGCACATCACAGTCATCCAGACTCCATAGTTGACGATAGAGTTCCCTCTTGGTGTTGAACATTCTGCGGGTTTCCACAGATATATGGTGACAAGTATTCACCACTGTAGTATCATACAGAATAATTTCACTGCCCTAAAAATCCTCTGTCGTCTGCCTATTCATTCCTCTAAGTTTTCTATTTTTATGGAGCAAAAATCTTATCAATTTTTAATCAAACCAAGGCTCATTGAATACCCATCCAGAAGCTCTAAGCAATACCCATCATAAAGGTATAAGATCTTTTTTAACCCTCCTTGGTTTTTTTTTTTAAGATTTTATTTATTTTTATTTATTTATTTATTTTTTAAAGATTTTATTTATTTAGTTGACAGAGACAGCGAGAGCAGGAACACAAGCAGGGGGAGTGGGAGAGGGAGAGCAGGCTTCCCGCGGAGCAGGGAGCCCGATGCGGGGCTCGATCCCAGGACCCTGGGATCATGACCTGAGCTGAAGGCAGACGCTTAACCGACTGAACCACCCAGGCGCCCCAACCCTCCTTGGTTTTACATTTGGCTATAGTCACTCCCTCTCTGTCTCCCCCCCCAGCAGCCCCACTCCGCCATTTGAGAGCAGGTTACGTACTTCCTTCATGCTGTAAGAGCAAACGCCTTGTCTTATATAACTGCGTACTACCTATGCCTGTCCATTCAGGAGATTTGGCATTGATGCAATACTGCAAACTCTAACCTGGATTCCAGTTCTGTCGGTTGTCCCACTATGTATTTTATACAGAGCAATTTCTCGTACAGGACCCAGTCGGGATCACATGCTGTGTTTGGCCACACCTCTTTATTCTTCTTTAATCTGAAGTAGTTTGGCCTTTCCTTAGTTTGTCTTTCATCATATTGACATTTTTGAAGATTATGGGCCAGTTATTTTATAGAATTTCCCTTCGTTTGGGTTTGTCTTATGTGTGCTTGTGCTTAGGAGTCAAGTTACAGACTTTTGTGTCATGTTGTGTCCCTTTAGGTATCATATCCAGGAGTGCATTATGTCCATTTGTCCCCCGTTGGTGATGTTAACTGACCGTGTATGTGGTTAAAGTTTTGTCCATTTTCTTTTCTGTTGAGTTACTATTTTTTCCTTTGTAGTTAATAAGTAATCTATGGGGAAATCTTGTGAGACTATCCTGTTTCTCATCAAACTCTTCCTCTCTCTATCTAGCACCTAATCATGATCCTTTTTTTTTTTTAAGTATATTTTAGGGTGGTGGTTCTTTAAAGACATTTTTTTAAAAGATTTTATTTATTTTGACAGAGAGAGAGGGAACACAAGCAGGGGGAGTGGAAGAGGGAGAAGTAGGCTTCCCCCTGAGCAGAGAGCCCGACATGGGTCTCAATCCCAGGACCCTGGGATCATGACCTGAGCCGAAGGCAAACGCTTAACCGACTGAGCCACCCAGGCATCCCCTAATCATGATTCTTGAATAAAATAGTTTTCACTATGGTGCTTGAAAATCTGTCATAGTAATAAAAGCATTTCAGGAGCATGCATATATGCTAGACCCTTGTTCTAAGCATTTGTGATAGCCTTATGAGGTAGGTACTATTATTGTCCCCATTTGACAGATAAAGAAACTGAGGTATGAAAAGATTTTCTGCCCAAGATCACCCAAGAGGTAAGTAGAGGTAGGATTTGAACACAGGTTGTCTGTCTCTGGGACATGTGCTGTTCTCCACTGTCTAAAGCTGCTTATTCATCTTTTCCTGTATGAATTCTATCTTTGCCTGTAAATTTAATAAGACTTTCTCTTCCTGGGATAAGATGAATGTTCAAAGATATTTTCCTTTCATACTTTGATGGTCTCATTTCATGGATACCTTGAGATGTCTAATTGGCAGTTGGAAATTCAGATTTAGAACCTGAGAGGGAAGTCACAGGCCAGGATGAGGTTGAGGAGTCCTAATCCCTGGTCTTGTGGGAGTACATTTTGACTGTCAAGTGGTCAGTGTTTTGTGATTCCATCCTTGCCCTTGGCTGATAGGTCAATCCTGGAGCCACTTATGGAGCGCAGGGCTTCGTCAGGTGCCAGAGTTGAAGATCTGCCCCTCAAAGAGGACAGTGAGAACCGGATCAGCAAGTTCAAGAGAAAAGATTGGAGCCTCAGCAAGTCCCAGGTCATTGCAGAGAAAGCGCCAGAACCTGATCTGATGGTAAAACAACAACAACAACAGGGGGTCAGGGTGGGGGAGGGGGGGACAAGCTGAGGAGCACCAGAGACTTGCTAGTGCTTTCCCCACAGCCTCACGGCAGAGCTGGGAGTCACACCCGGCAGGCAGCCTGTGACAGTGTCTGATCTTAGACTGCTTAAAAAACAAAACAAAACAAAACAAAAGCACAAAGGGAGAATTTGAGTGTCTAAATCAGCAGTGGTGCAAGATCTTGTACCCACAATGTAAACATGTGGGCTGATGCTTGGAGTTGTGGTTCTCACCACAATGTTCCATGAGTCAGTCCAAACATTGTCATTTCTCTTCTTTTAACTTAAAAAAAAAAAAGTGCTTTTTCTTCTTCCATGAGCCACAGCAAGTTGTTGAGGGTGGCAAGACCAGCCTTCCCTGAGAATCAGGGTGGCTCCTTTCCAGCCCAAATAACACGGTCTAACCGTGCTCAGAATCAGGCTCATGGCCGGCCAGGAGAGAATGTCGGCTCCAGTGAATCCCCGTCAGTGTCTTCGCCGTGCTCGCCGCATGACCGTGCGGGAAGCTCAAGAGCGGCTTCTGGAATCTGCCCTCTGACACGTGGGTGCTCAGCAGGCGAGGTTGTTTGGAGTGTTGATGAGCTCAGCCTTTCTCACCGCAAGGATGTTTTGCTGTACCCCGCCCCCCACTAGAGCCCAGCCCGAAAAGCGCAAAGACCAAAGAGTCTCCAGTTGTCGGACAATCGGCTGACGCCATTTCATGGTTCTTCACCTCCTCAGTCAACGCCCTTGAGCCCACCTCCACTCACTCCTAAAGCCACCAGGACCCTAAGTAAGTTATATATACACACACACACACACACACACACACACACACACAGAGATGTAGAGAGATACAGGTATATCCCTTCTCTTTGCTTCAGTAGGGAAAGGAGTATGTGTATGGATCTGGACCATATTTGGCCAGAACAGCCACACAGTATATGAGATTATTATAAAGTTGGCTCACTCCATGGTAGAGGGTATAGCAAAATTAGAGTTCGACAAGGAGTCTTTGGGTCACTAGGATTCATTAACCTTCTCTGTAGAGTGACCCAGAGGGTCTCACGACTCCTTTTCCATTTGTGAAGGTATAAATGAGGTGGAGCCAGACGGGGACCAGACAGGAAGCAAGTAACTTACAAACTACTGAGTAGGTAGCCCTGTCCTTGTATAGGAAAGGGTCCGAAAAAAGGATAAGAAATACACCCATTCCATATACTGCTTACAGTCAGGCCTGGGGAATCAGCAATACACAAGTCCTGAGAAGAATTCCGAGGTACCCTTGGTACAAAGAATGGAGGGGTAAATCATCGTGCCACATGGGACATGGGAGTCAACCAAGAGTTAGAGAGAATTAAGGTGTCCTGGAGGAAATGGAGATTGCAGCCTTTACATGATCAAACTAAGATGGCTCAGTTAAATTTAACCAGTATTTATTGACCGCTTACTTTGTGACAGACATTTTTTTCTAAGCACTTGGGATAGATCAGAGAATAGAGTCATATCTAAGTTCTAGAAAATGTCTTCTTCTCCAGCTTAATAGTAAAAACTCTAAGCAAAAAAAAAAAGGGTGGGGATGGATTTTTACTTCAGAACTTCTTGTGAAAGCTTCTGGTGAGCAAACAGTGCTGTATTTGTCATGAGGGCCAAGAGGACGTTTCCATTCTGTCCATGGAAACTATAGAATATCACCTTAGCAATTTGATTGGCCAGGTTGGTTTAGGTGTTAAAATGGCAGGCAGAGGTTCTGTAAGATTCCTTGATGAATTCTTCTCTCTGCCTTCATCTACTTTGTCTCCTTTCTAGGCTCCCCATCTTTGCAGACAGATGGGCTGATGACTACTACTGTCCCGCCTCCCCCTCCCCCCAAAAGCAAGCCCTACGAGAGCAGCCAGAGGAACTCCGCGGAGGTAGGGAACAGCGGCTGGGGTCAGAGCGCCCCACTCGCAGGAGCGCAAAGCTGGTTTTCCAAGCTTTTTGCTAGGCGGGTTTCCTGTAGATTTGTCGCTCTGATCGCTTCTTGACTCATGCCTGCAACCATAAAAAGATAGGGGAGTTTCTAATGGGAAGTAACGCAATACAGGCAGACCTTTTCATCAGATCGAAGGTAGAGCCTTTCTCCGTACCTCACCCTGGGTACAGGTGAGTGAAATCAGTGGGTTCTGGTTCACATGTGAAGAGTTTACTCCTTCTGAGTGAGTGACAGTCATTCTGGAATGGCCTCTGATGGGTTTCCTGCATTCGTTCAATGGCATATCTATAGATATGCCAAGAGCCCAAGTGTTGGGGATATAACATTTTGGTGTATATCTGATTAACCCAAGGAGAACAAGGGAAGTTAAATGAGGGTTGTTTCCCTTTTCTCCTTGCCAAGGCTGCGTAGATGGATCAGTTAGAAGCGAAAGCACTGTGTCAGAAATGTGGAGGAGAAAGCGAATCAGGAGGAAAGATAAGACTCATTTGACTTCCGTTGTGTCTGCCCCCTCAGATTGCCCCTCCGCTTCCGGTCCGCAGAGAAGCCAAAGCCCCACCCCCACCACCTCCCAAAGCTCGGAAATCTGGCTTCCTTTCTTCTGAGCCCGGATCCCAGTAAGGATCTTGCCACCCTGTCTCCGGAACTCTGAACACCTTGAACAGCTGAGAGGAGGCCCTGTCCTCATTCCCCAGGGCCTCTGGCTGACCCCCCACCCCCTTCCTGATCTGGGGTCAGCTGTACCAGCTCAAAACTGGTTGTTCTTTGAAAGACTTCTCTGAAAGAGGCCGAAGGCCACATCTCCTCCCGCCCGCCCACATGAATTCCAGAATTGGTCGGGTCCTCTGTTTCTCAAAGGAGAGATATCTCCTCACCGTGATTAAATTCCGCCTCCAGCGCAGAGGCCACCGCAGCCTACAGAAGCCTGGCTACGTTCTTCTATGGCGGTCTTGGAGCAACCCCAGGAACCTCCACTTTGGAAGGATTTCTTGCTTTGCTTGTGAAAAGCTATGCTTGAGACTTGGTTTTCTCACGTGGACACACCATGCCCTGAATAACATTGGAAGAGACGTGCATCAGGGACTTTGGTAGCCAAAATAATCCTATCTTCCTGAAGTCTGCTTGTGTCTCCTTTAAGGAAAAGAACATCTTTGTAATGAAGATGGGCTACTTTCATGTGTGACTAGTCATCATTGTTGAAAACACATGGACTCGACTGTGAGGTCTGAGCTCCCGTCTGCCCCCATGCCAGCTACTGCGTGTGGTGTGGGAACCCTCCTGGGAGGCCCTCGCACTCCTGACCCCCTGGCTGTCACCACACCGAGTCACTCCTTCCTGCTACAGACTCTCTTGAAGCTCTTTCTTTTGCACAGTTTCTTGCCCTGTTACCTCCTCTGAGTGCAAATCACTGGACAGAAGGGACTTCGAAGCCCGGGTTCAGCCGCTTCTCTTCCAGATCGTGTTTGGATGGCTCAGCGGCCCCTCTCTGCCCCCTGATTTTACCCTGGAGAATACAGTGCAATATCTCCCTTTGATTATTTATTCCTCATGATTGTGGAATTAATTTGATTACATGTTTATGGTACTAAGTCAGTAGTCCTTTTGGAAGAAGAAATGGGGTGATTTAGATGATCAAATATTACATACACCTACACAAACCCCACAAGGTTGGAGACATTTTGAGCTAGAAGGACCTTAAAGTTCATACAAACAACCCCCTCGTTTTGTAGACAAAACGGAAAATCTGACTACAGATTCTTACTAACAACGCAGCTTGCTAATTGAGGCTCTATCCCCAGATAACACTTAGATCAAGAAGACAACCCTGACATACTCCATGATGAATACCTACCCCTAGTTGGAACAACAGTGGAAATGTCCTGGGTATTTCTATACCACTTTGACATTTATGGCAAAGTAGAAAGCTTTATGTGGATCCCCTAGGTCAGCACGTGGGGAAGCTCACCAGAGTCCCTTTGGTAACTGGGCCCAGTCCCCTTCCCCACCTACCCAGCCCCAAGGTAGAGAGAGAGAGGAAAGAGATTTCACCTCTGAGAATGCGGATTTGCTTGCCTGCTTCTTTGCGTACCCGTTTCAATACCACCTTTCTTAGAAGAGACCTTCTAATGGTTCAGAGAGTCAGGGAAAGACGTGGCCAGCAATCCTCAAGCAGTTAGTGTGCATATTTAAAAGTGGTGAGGAAAAGGTGGTTCTTCACCTCCACTCAGGGGAACCTTCAAAGGGATAGACTAGAGAAAAGCTGGGCTTTGGAAGTAAACCATCTGGTCTCCGACCATCCCAGCTGTGTCATCTGTTAACTTTGCAAATCCCCTAAATTCTTTGCAATCATCTGAGCCTTCATTTCTTCCCCTTCTGATACAGGGAACAGTACCTGCCACACAGATGAGATTCAAACAAGATCGGCTGTGTGGAGTAGTAGGAACGAAATGATCCGTCCTTTCCTCTGCTCGGCCTGAGTAAGATCTGGAATTCTCTAAGAGCATTATTGATATTTTTTCCCCCTGAGGTAATTTGGAAAGTGAGTGCAAGTTAGCTGTGCGCATACAATCCCTTTTAAAAAAAAAAAATGGCATCTTTTAGAATCTCTTACATAATTATTTATGACTAAAGAAGAAGTGTTAATAAGAACCAAAAAGGATTTTAGTGGAAAGAATTCAACGAAGAGAAGGAACAGAAAGGTTATATGGGGCTTCTGTGGAGCCCAGAGCAGCTTCTGAGAAGTTGCCTCGCAGACTGGCTAGCGGGGATCTGTAGGTCTCACCCGATTTTTCAGGCTGCCTTTCAAATAGAAAGATGTAAGCTGGTCACAAAAAATACCAAACCTCAAGCATGACCCTTCAGAGCAGTGCAAGTGAGTTCTGCAGTGTGGTCTTTGATCAGGGGCTGGGGAAGTCTGATACGCTGGTGCCCAAGTACCTTCCCTTTTTTAACAGAACATTTTTCCAACTGATTCCCCTTCTATCTTAATGAAAATACTAAGTCTCTCCTGCCTGAATAGAAAGGATTCTAGGTAATGGTGTGGATACCAGATTACAGGGAACATGGGGGAAGGCATTGGGTCAGAAAGAGTCATGTTTGACAAAAGATCATAAATCACGTCTGTCCTGAAGTCAAAGAGGAAGACTGCAAGGAAATGCCTTATGATTACATTGCATATAGGAGAGATGAGGGGCCAGGAATAAAAGAGGAAAGAACTGGTCTTTATTTCCCTTGATAAGAACTCTGGAGTACTGAAGGACATTGAAAGTAGCCCCCAAACTGTCACAACCTTTGTGGATGTCACAACCTTATGGGATTTTTTTTTAATCCCTTATTTTCTTTCTCTCTGTTCTGGTGACTTGTCTTCCTTGGAGATTTTTTTTTTTTCAAGAATCGTTTTATTCAACATTTATTAAGCTCTTATTGAATGCCAGACACCATACGAGACTCTCAGGATGTGGCAATTCAGTGTATCCAATGGGAACAGCCTGGTATGCAGAGACTGTGTTGTGCTGTGGGGTTGGCAAGAGAGTAGGACCAGGAGAAAGTGAAACCCTCAGTACGGCTGCTGGGCCATGGGCCTCCCCTCTTCCACCTCCCATGTGGATTGCAGAATTGTAGTCCTTCTCGCCCGTCAGGGAGACCCTGCAGATCCCTAAGACAAGAGATAAAGCGGGATTTGAGATAACAATCTACCTTTGTTAACTTTTTCCAAGCTGTGGGAGTGCTTCCCCTCTACTGGCCCCCAGATCATGGGGTGCCTTTTTCCTTTAAAATTGAGGGATGTCTTAACATACATATGGGCAAGTGCACAAATCTTAGGGGTACAGATGGATGAAACTTGACCTAGGCGTGTACCGCATCGCCACCTCTCAGATCCAGACCGAGACTACTTCCAGAACCCCAGAAGTGCCCCTCATGTCCCTGCTGTCCTTCTGCAAAAGGCATTTAGAAGGCCATTCATAGCTGTACCTTCCTTCCTTTCACTGCTCGGGTATAATGAAAAAAGGGGAAAAACCCCACCATCAACACAGGACAGGACAGTAAAGACCATGTACCGTTTGGCAAGTCGATTTATAGTCAGTCCCTGGGCCTCATTTTCCTCATGTAAAACATGTATATCCGAAGCTGTGTGATTTTAGAATCCTTTCGGCCCTCGCTTTCTTTGATTCTAAGTGAATGAGAAAGAGAGAATCCGAAGGCAACGAAGTTTCCGTACAACAGCTTTTAGGCCCACATGCCATTGACCAAGTGGGATTTTAAAATTAGTTGGAAAAGGTAAGTTCCTCTTTGGGTGGGTTGAGCATGGAACCACCAGTTATAACCTACAAAAAGAAAAAGTTTTCCTTTAAGTTGATGATTTCAGGCTGACCAGTGCTGGTCTCCCACATATGCTGCCTAAACTCATCTATTAGTCAGATTTTGTAAGTTATTCATCCAGACTTTGTCAAAGGCTCGGTTGCCAGGATTTTGTAAACTAGTTGGGTTTCAAACATGGACTGTTAGGAAGATGTGCATTGAAGTAGAAAAATTTTGTTCAGATTTGCTGTTATTTATTTTTTAAATTAAAAATGGAAATGTATTTTGAAGCTTATCGTGTTTAGTCTGTTTTTACCCTTACGTTAAAGAAACGAAATCATTCCTGAACTTTTCTTTATCGACACCTCCTTTGTGACACATCACACCCAGTCCCTCTGGCCTCCTGTCATTATTACAGGTCCTGTTAGTTTAGACTTGTGCTGTGGGGTCATGGAAGCAAGAAGAACCGCCGACCATTTGGTTCTTCCCTCCCCTCAACCCCTGTCCATGCATCCCTTTGGCATCGGAGCTGATGGCTTCTGACAACAATTCATTTAATGCGATGGGCTGTTTCTTCATTCACTGCAAAGGGAAATCAAAGGAGTAGCTAGTAACTTAACTTGGGAAGGATAGGAACCAGTTCTCAAACTAGGTTGAACCTTAGTATCACCGGGGAAGAGGTCACACCCCAGACCAATTAAATCAATTTCCAAGAGCAGGGAGCATGACCCAGACACCATATTCCTTTTACATCTCCCCAGTGTTATTCCAACGTTTGGCCAAGGCTGAAAATCACCACTACCTTAGAGGAAATAACACCCTGAGAAAATCGGTGTTCAAAATGGATATTCATTTCTTTTTTTTTTTTTTTAAAGATTTTTATTTATTTATTTGAGAGAGAATGAGAGACAGAGAGCATGAGAGGGGGGAGGGTTGGAGGGAGAAGCAGACTCCCTGCC